CCACGATTCTGTCGGTGGGTTTGTTTTTGCCTGCAGAGGGGCAGGGGCCAGAAGTGAGTAAAGCTTTTCACTTTACGGCAGAGGAGATACTGAAGGAGAGAGACAAGCAAGGTTGGGTTTTCCACCACCCCCCCAAGACACACCCCAAGTGATGTTACCGACTTCTGGCCCTGTGGCTTAGTTTCCCCAACACCAACAGCACCAAGGAAACCAAGCCCCCAGGAGCCAGTCTAAATGCAAACCACAGTGCTTCGTAAATCACTGATTTAGATCAGGTTTTCCCAACTCTGCACCATTGCTGTTTGAGGCCAGATAACCTGTTACTATGTGGCATTTGTCCTGCACTTTACAGGATATTAGTAACAGACCAGATTTCTGTCCATTAGACACCAGTAGTCCCCAAAGATGTGATAACCAAAACTGTTCACCAGCATCATTGAATGTCGAAGGTCATTAGCATACACTGCTTTAGGTTAATATAATGCACATGGGGGAAACTCTGCAAGACACTGAGGGGTGTGATCTGGAAATGTGGGGAAAGGTGAACTGCAGCCTATAAGGTAGGAATCTGTATGCTTAACACTGAAATGCTATCTTCATGCTAAGGTCTTGTACTTTTTTCTTTTAAATTTGAAACAAGCTTGTTTTAAAAGATGAGGGTTGGTGGGGAGAACAGAGGAGGATGAGAGGGTGCAGACCCCCATCCCATCCCCTCTCTGCTCCTCAGGGAGGGAGAGGCTTTCCATGGGGAGTCTTCAAAGTCTGTCTCATCATTTGGAGCAGGACCCAGGCCCTCCCCCATGTGTCTAGGCCGAGGGAGTATCTCTCTATGTGGAATGGGCTCCCACAGTCCATTCTTATACTAGCAATAAACACTGATCCACTGCCAGAGGCTCCATGGACTGCCCAGTCCTCCTAACTTACACCCACATTCAGGGGGTCTGGGTCGGTCCTATGCTGGACTCCAGACTGGAGCTCCAGACTGGAGTCCATGAGCTCCTCAGGTCAGCAGTTTCTGTGGATTTCCTCCAGCCTGGTCTTGACCCCTTTGCTTATCACTCCTCCATGTCTGCAACTGGATTTCAAGAGTTCGGCTCAGTATTTAGCTGTGGGGGTCTGCTTCTGCTTCCATCAGCTACTAGATGAGGCTCTAGGATGGCATATAAGGTAGTCATCAATTTCATTATCAGGGAAAGGCATTTAAGGTAGCCTCTCCACTATTGCTTAGATTGTTAGTTGGGGTCATTCTTGTAGGTCTCTGGACATTTCCCTAGTGACAGATTTCTCTTAAAATCTATATGGCTCCCTCAATTATGGTATCTCTTTTCTTGCTCTCCTCTATTCTTTCCCTGACTCAATCTTCCTGCTCCCTCATGCCCACCTCTCCCTTCCTCTTCCTCCTAACTCCCTCTCGCCCCCTCCCATGCTCCCAATTTTTTTGGGAGATCTTGTCCCTTTACCCTTCCAGTGGACCATGTGTGTCTCTCTTAGTTTTTCTGGCGGTTTGGATTGTGGGATGGTGATCCTTTGCTCTGTGTCTAAAATCCATATATGAGTGAGTACATACCATGTTTGTCTTTTTGTGACTGGGTTACCTCACTCAGGATGGTTTCTTCTAGTTCCATCCATTTAAGACCTTATACTTTTAATGAACTGACCCCAGAAAAATCAAGTTGGAGCATACTAACTATTCCGAGATCATTCATTTCTCCTGAATGTACACTTCCTGGATCGCTTCTCTCTGTGCGTCTCTCCCTGTGTGTGCAATTCATTTTGGGTCTTTTATTACGTTGTCTAAGCTGCCCTGAACTCATATTCCTCCCGCCTCAGCATACCCCGCTTCCCCTACACTGGTGCCACATTCTCAGCCTGACTCATTTTTATTTATGTATTTTCAATTATGATTTCCATATTCTGAAGTCCTGCTCTCTGTCAAGGTGTAGGCATGTTCAAATATCCTATGTTCAAGAATGCTTTTACAGAAGAAAAAAAACCAGGTGCTATTAATATAACTTAGTGAAGTTTTATTAATGTAGATCTTGCAAGCATTGACCTTCAGCCCTTCTAACACTGATGATAATAAAGGCCCTGCCGAGTTCACTATCTAAAGCCTTGTCACTCATTTTATTACCCCTGCATGGGCAGTGCAGGTATCACCTGGAAGCTGGTTAGAAAAGAAGAATCTTGAGCCCCATTCCCACCAGGCTGAATTGAGAGTTTAAACATGGCCACCGGCGATTCCCAGGCAGTGATACTCAGAAAGCTAGCTCCACAAAGGTCCCTTAGTCTCCTCAGCCTTAGAGCCCTCAACACACATGCTTTGCAGATACCTGTTCCACATTTGTCAACTCGACAAATGTCCCTTTACTCCTCTAGACCGAAACATCCCGTGGACGAGTCTGTTCAGGATTGGTCCCCAGAGCCATATACATTGCTCAAAAATTTGTTACACAATTCAATAACCCATGCCCTGGATCTCCTTTCTGTCTGCTTCCTCCACCCCCCCACCCCCAGGGCTCAGCAGAGCTTCCACTGGGTTTTCCCAGGTTTCCAAGGGATTAGAAAACAATTCTGAGGTAGGAATGCATACTTCAATTATGGAAGATTTGGGTTCCCAGCAGTTAAGAGTTCTCTGAGTCCTGGGAGGAAGAAATGCAAGGAGTGTTGTCTGAACATGGCCCAAGAATGGAGTTGTGTGAGAATTCTTTGTGTTTGAGAGAAAACTCCAAGAAAGCAAGTCGTGTGACCTCAATCTCTTCAAAGTATGGAGCCGTTCTTACAGTGTGTCCGCATGCTCCTCCCAGGTGTACCAGATGGGAGTTCAGAGCTTCAGATTGCTCATTACCGATTGATGTTGTTAGGAAACTGAATGTGTATGTGCCTGTATGGAAACACGTTTTTTTGCCGCGTGCACCTTGTTCTTGCAATTGTGTACACCTTGAACTCATGAGAACTTTGCTTATGGCAGGCACTTCTCTTTCCTAACCTTCAACACATGAATTGTGTGATGGTCTGAATAAAGTTGGCTATTGTGCGAGACTTGGTCCACATCATTTATTGGCTGCGTTTTCCCAGGTCCCATGGGCTCTGGAGCAGTGCTAAGTGTATTCTTTCTAATTCCATGCAAGGACTTTTACTCTTGTATATTTTCATTTTGTTCCTTCAAATTTGTTTTTTCTTTCCACCAGGAAAATTTATTGGGTGAGAATAAAATGTTATAAATGAACATGATTACTAATAAAAGAGTTTATAATGTATATATATATATATACTTAAGAATATATTTACTTAGAGCTTATCTTGGCATATAAAGCAATGTTTTCAGTAAATTACAAAATTTAACTAATTTAGTGAGGCAAGCATATATCCCAATGGCCTATTCTCTTCTCTCTGTGGATGTGATGAAATGGGCTTCATGTTTATAACCTGATTAAGTATAATAATATCTGTGTTCCCACTCTTATAGGTAGTAAAGAAAATTCAAGCATGGGTGTATAACAGCACTGTATTGCTCCAGGACCCTAGGCACAACAATCCAGAAGCCAAAAAATGCAAGAAAGAGACAACTAGCAATATTAACAGTGTTTTTATTTACAAAGATTGCTTTTATTTGACCATTTTGAAAACCATGAACATTTTTCACTTTAGAAAACATTAAATAATAAACAAGATGCTATACAGTACTTTGGATAACTTCTTCGGTGTAGTGCAATGTCTTATTGGCACCTAACAGTGAAATTCTCAATTGCTTTCCCCTGTCATCTTCAGCTGTGTAGTTAACATAACCAAAAAGGAACTGAGTCATGAAAAAATGGAACTAAGAACACATTATCAGAATTTAGTTAAAGACTCAGGTCAGATGTCCCAACTCTGACTCCATTAATAAGATGACAAAGTCACTTGGATCTGTTTAAAAAAATGTTACCACCTTGTGGAATTGGAAGGCTCCTACTGAAAGTGGACCGTGGGAGGAGGTAAGGGCTAGTGGTATTGTGACTGATACACGTTCAGTAGCCACGTCAACTTGTCACATGCAAAGCAGAGACAATGTACCAGACAAAGTCTCTCTGACTTGTGTTTCTTGACAGGGTCTCTCTGAAAAACAAGTCTAAATAAGCAACTACTGAATAACCAAAGGGGTCACACCCTTACCCAGGAATCAAACATTAACACCACCACATCAGGACATTAGGAAGTTACTGCAACATCTGTTGGTACCGCTTCAAAAATAGTTTGGGAGATTTGTTGTTTTGATACTGCTGTTGGCTGTCGAGTGAGAGACTCAACATCTCCTTTTGTGCTCCTTCCAACAGGTCAAGAGAAGACTGCCTAGCTCAGAGCTTAGGCCAAACTACTGATTTCTCATTAATATATACTGTGAGGACCAGTGCATCTTCTAGAGTCTGTAATCTGGTACCTTAAATAGGTAAAATTTTAATGCGGACTTTTAAATGTGGGGGAAGGAAAGGGAGATAGAGAAGAAGAAGAAGAAGAAAGGTGAACAGGAAGGGGGAGAGGTGCTGATAGAGGGGGGAGGAAGGGAGAAAGAAGAGAAAGAAGGAGGGAAGGAGGAAGGTAGCGAGGGAGGGAGGGGAGGGACAGAGAGAGATCCCGATTTTCACACTTCTTTTTTGTAAAGGATTTGGCTTAGCAACTGTCCCTGCCAGGAAGTGCCCCCTCACACTCTAGCCTAAGCCTGTCCCCTCTTGTTCTATTCTCAGTCCACGCGGAGAGCAGCTGCTCTCCAAGCTCTTGGTGCCAACCCTTCACATACTGGAAAACCATCAATGGTCTGCCCCTCAGTCTTCTCTTCTCCAGGCTGAATAATCCCAGCTCCTTTACTCTTTCATCATAGATCTTTCTTTCCAACCCTTTAATCATCTCTGTGTTTCCTGGCAAAAACAGCAGAAAATATTTTGATTACTTAATCAGAAATGAAAGCGATGTAAGGAGAAAGTTGGCTTTTTTTAGAGTTATGAGTCTTTAATTTAGCAAAAGGTATGACAGGGAAGAGCTATAGTTGTGGCTTTGTGGATATTAGAGTTCCAATCCTGCCCTCCTATGTTGCGTGTGTCTCATTCCATCGACTGCAGTGCTTTGGTGCACAGCCCTGCTTCCCATCCCAGCCTGGGGCAACGAGTAAGCCATGAGCTACACTAGTGGACACCGTGGCAGCTTGCAGCTCATTGTGAATGCCTGTCCCAAGGGCCTCCCCTACCCTTCCACTCCCCACACATCTTTGCCAAGTTTCTCACCAGTGGAGCCATGTCACAATGCTGAAAGCTGTTGGTTTAAAGTATAACTCAAAACATAAAGGTTTTATACATTAACTGCAGGTCCTTGCTTCCCTTAATGGTTTACTTTCTTCTGTAAAGATCAAACTCAAGGGCATCGAAATAAAGTCATTCCGCTACCCCATCCGGACATCTCTGTCAGTATAAGGTCATGGCATGGATGACATTTCATCATGCATTTTTTTTAGCTCAAGCTATCATAAGCTGCCTTTGACCTTGCAACTAGAGTCTGTGAATATTAGGAACACGTATGTACTTATATTAATAGCACATTTATACAAACACAGTAGTACTAACAAGGAATTCCATGCCCACCCTACATAACTCTCTTTAAAAGAAAAGCACAGTTTACAAGAATAAATGCACCTTAATACATTATACGCCCTTATATCATAAAGTGTATGGCAGTAAAAGTCAGAGTGAGGTCAGGCCGGAACAAGTGTAAAGGACCAACTAGTTTCACAAGCACACTGTGCATCATACTGTAAGCAAAGCCAACGCTACTCAGGGCACAACACTGGACAGATCACAGAATGGACATTTCTCCCATAACTGGCTATCAGGCCCACTCTGTCAACAGAATGAAGGATATGCCAAAGACCTTCATAAAGGAGATGCAGGGTAGAAGGTACCACCCCAGAAAGGCCTGGATGTGTCTCCAGATGCTCCCAAACTTTAAGGAGGGGTCAGTGCTCATTGGGATTGCACAAAAGCAGGCCACCAATGCCTGCATCACCAACCAGCCTTCCTCCTGAACCACTCTTGCCCTAGGCCTGATAATGGGGAGATGAGAAGGTGAGGATTGGAAAATGAGGAAGAACGGCACAGTTCACTGCGAGCTCTGGAGCTGCTAGAGTTCTTCTCAGCAGTGACCTTTTTTCAAGCTCACATCATCCAATCCAATCTCCCCTGTGTGGCCACGCCTTTTTTCACCTTTGAAGATGACCTGGGGAGAGAATGCATACACTGGTCAGGCCTCCTCTGCTGCTTCCAATGCTCACTCACAGAGCATAATGAGGGGAAACCCTTCCCCCAAACCAAACACTAGACTTCTAAGGCAAAAGGAAATGCCAGGACTTGGGTGCCAGCATCAACCCAGGCCCTGAGCCTTTAGGTATGCACTTTGATCAGTTTCTCCTCAAATCGGCATTCACACTACACAATAGTTGACTGCAGGAATGCTTGCAGCGGGCACTGGTCAAAGATTACCAAGGTTTAGAAGAAAGAAGAGTGTAGTAGAAGACAGACCTGAGAAAATAGGTGCTAAAGAGCTGTGAGATTCGAGTCCTGCAGCCTGCCTTGCTTTTCTCTAGATAACACCCCCAGCTGCCCACAGCGAGGCAGAGGCACACACCATGGTCACCATTGTTTTGGCTGTGACGCCCAATGTCTGCTCCCACATTTTATCCTCTACAGGGCATCCCTGCTTAAAATGGGACAAAACTTTCAGTACTGTGACTTGAAGCAATGCATTTTCCTGTTTTACCTCTGCAGTATAAATATTAAGGAAACGAATGCAGAAGGTACACAAGATCTCAGGGTCGCCATAAAAGATGTAATGGGGTCTGTGATTCTAACAGAATTTCAGCAAAGTCTCTAATGGAGGTTCTTCAAGGCAAAGTTGTGTAAGAATCTACATAAAGATGACATTTTCCAAATCTCACCCATTGTTTTGGTGGGATGAGACAGACCATTCTCTCATTAGCCAAGACTTGGTTTTTTAAAATACATTTTAAAATTGAAATATGGTTTTACATCGCCACCCATGACCCACCCTGAACAATGCTTTTCTATCCTGGATCTTGGGAGCCCATCTGGAATTGCTTAAGTGCGATCTCTGGGCCAAAGGGGAAAACGAATTCAAAGGAACAATAAAGTAGAAAGAACTGCCTCCACAGAGGTTATCAGAGTAAAAGTTGGAAGCTTAAGGAATTAAAGGTAAAGAAAAAGCAGGCACCATTACTCACAACACCCAAGGCCCTGGATGTTTCTATAAACTTATTTATTTTTTCCAATTTTGCTAATTTTCTCTCCTTGAAAACAGTTGTCATCGAGAGGGAGTGAGGGTGTGGCGGTCAAGGTTGCAACAAAGAAGGATGAAGAAGCAGTTAAGACTTTCAGAAAGAGGCAATGGATAGGGGCCCTTGCTCCCAGGGAAAGCCACGAACCACTGGATCTGAATTCACCAAGCAAGGCTTCTTCCAGGCCTATTCCCGCACTGGCCTCTGAAGGCAGAACCTCCATTTGCGGAACTACTTACGCTCTTGACGTCAGCCCCTCGCAAGGTGATCTGGGTTTGCCTCCAGCCATGGCCACCATTTCTTCCCCACAGGGCTGCTCCGTGGGCACCATGTTTTCTCACAAACACCTGCAGTGTGCCGGAGTGCAGCCCAGCCACCTTGTGCCTGAAGGACAGGCACAGGTCCCCTGAATGCATGAGGTGGCCGAGAGGCAGCACCAAGCGGGCAGCTTTTCCCCCTGGGGCTTTGGCTGCAGACACTGTGAGATACTGTCCACCTGGAACGGGAAAAGCAGGGCCTCTCTCCAGCACAAACTGTATGGACAGGAGGATCTTAACAAACTTCAGACTATAGCATTCATTAATACAGACTCCCAGATCTTTCTGAAGAAGAAAAAAGAGCTTATTTATGTGCCTATTGTTTGCAAATAACGCCCACATACTTTGCCCATGAGAACAAAGACAACATATGATTAGTATCCAAACAGGGACTGTTTCCTTGGATATGATCCGACATCCCTAGTACACACAAGTACTACCTTCAGATCCTCGCCAACACAACCCACACTGGTTTAGTAGAAATGACCCGTAATTTCCTGGGTAAAATTTATTTGTAGATAATTAACCTCTGGATAGCAAAACACAAGAAATCGAAAGAGCATTATTTCTGCATATTCTATCCTCCTTCCACTTAAAAAACGTGGTCCTTAACTACAGAAGGATGCTTTGAAAACAATTTGCTATCTTTTTCACATGGGGGAGTGGGGGGGGCGTGGCAAGCTAACCTCAGGAAGACACTCTCCACACCTTCCCAAGTTATCAATTTCATTTGGAGGTTAGTGATTTAAAAGCCATATACATTAAAGCAAATCTGTAACTGTGTATCTCTGTTTATTGTGTCTGTCTGTCTGTCTTGTTATATCCAAGTGAAAACACAAACAATAAAAACTTCTGCTTTTGACATGCCGTCCTGGCTGTCCTCGGACCCCTGAGTCTATCCATTTCCCATTTCTCTTTTGTTAGAGAAGAAAGATGAGGGGAGGGGGGAGATTAAGCACCAGCAAAGAGGGGCTGCTGCTTCTAAAGAGAAATCTGTGAGCGAGTGGAAATCTGGGCATTTCCAGGTGCCAGTTTCTTCAGGCGGCTTTGTCAAAGTTGACTGAAAACACACAAGCAGTTTCAACACTGATCTGTCCTCAGGAGGAATGTGGCTGGAATGCCGAACACATGTATCTGCTGTGGGGAGAAACTTCCTTTCCTTTTCAGTTCAAAGACAGACCATCGTCATCGCCCTACGCCTTGTTTCTATGAGACATGGCAAGAGACTTGGGAATGTCGTCTTATTCCACTGGGTTTTGCTCTACCAAGTTCAGGTTGGTATTCTCCTAGGTGACAAGTGACCTTTGAGTAACTGTGGCACACCCATGTTCTGTGCTAAGTGCTCCCTGCAGGTTGCAAATAGCAGAAGCCAGTCCCACCTGGACCTCAAACCTCCCCGTTAATATCCTAGGTAGAGCAGATACTTTGGTTCCAAAAACATAGCAAAAACCTGCCAGAAAATTGCTTGTTGACTCATGCATCCAAGTCATTAAAAACACAATGTGCTGGCTTCCTCCCTCATTCTGGCTCCACTCCCTCACATATTGACACCCCCATAATACTTGGCCAAAACTTTTATGTGCTTGTTAAATATCTGTTGGCTTCTGAATCATGACAGGTACTGTAGTTAAGGCTAAGGTAAGATTATTACAGTGACCCTGCAGGTTTTAAGAAAACAGGGATTAACTTAAATCTCTGTGGAATGTATGCTAATGCATTTTTTCGAGACACTGCATGCAATCAGGAGCACCTGACAAACCAAGGCACCTACGATTCAAACAACCCCTGTCTACTCATATTCAAAGCCCTAGAACTGGGATAATGATCATAACGTTGATACTATTCTTCCTCCATCCAGCAGTTCTGACTTGGGTTTAATTTTTTTTCTTTAGTTTTAAATTTTCTTTTTATTGACTGATTAATTGTTGGGAGGGGTGGGGATGCCCACATGCTGTAGCACACATGTAGAGATCAGGGGTGTGTGGTCAGAATTCCCCAGCATGCTCTGCGGAACGGTTCTGAAGGGCAGCCTGACACGTGCTGTACATCCTCCAACTCTCTGTCATCTTTTGGTCTTCCCATCCTTTTCTCCAAGCAGAAAACTTGATTTCCAATTCCCCTGGGAAATTCTCCCGAGAGACATTTTCTGCACAAACACAGACCCTCCCAGCTGGACTAAAGCTCATCTAATTCGAAGTTTTCACCCTTTAATAACATCTTGCCAGAGGACGCCCAATCAAACTTCATCTCCAACAGAGGCTCATTTCCCCACACCAGCCTGCTCTTTCCAATAGCTCTATTGAAAGTTCTTTTTCATCTACCTTGTTTTCTGCCACAGGTCCTACATCCCATCCCTTTGAATCACAAGAACATTTCTAACCTTGGGTTAACTGGTTCAAAGCACTACAACTCTACTGCTTTTTCCTGGTTAAACATTCTGGCCTTCACCCACTCCTCCTAGGTAAAGGAAGACACACCTCTCCATCCAGGTTATACTCTCTTGTGAGTGATGTGCGACTAAGTCTCAGATGAGAAAGGCTCCTCAGAAGTGCAACAGCCACTTCACCATAGCATATTATTTGTTCTGGAAAAGGACCAGTTCTACAGAAATAGTCCCCTTTGGAAACAACGGTCATGGGTTTACTCACAATGATGTCATTACACACTAACTCTGAAGTCCTTCACAGTTAGTGCTTGCTTACATCTTCCCACAGCTGTGGTTCGTTTCTAGACCCCGAGACATACTCAACATCAGAATTTATCCCCGTGGGGTGATGCTTCTGCCAGCACACAATCACGTTTCTCTCCAGCTTGGAGTTGGAGTGAGGTCAAGCTTTCTTCCATATCTCAGTTTGATATCTATTTATCCAAGTTTTTGGTAAAAATGAGAAAAGCATCCTACAGGGGCCAGATCGAATGGTCAGGTGTTAGCCCCACACCCCATCCCCGTCACATTCTTTCCATTTGTTCTGCTCTAACACAGTCAATGGCCTCTTCTACCAGAGGACAAGAAGAGTTTGACCCACAAATCCAAACGTCTACAAATGTGCTAACAATGGACAGTGTTGAAAAGTCATACACAGTTCTGAAAAGGCGTTCTAAGAATCAATTCAGACTAGGTTACGGGGGCAACTGTAAACAGTGTCGTTCCACAAGGTCAATGAATTCTTTTCAACTTACAATGAATTACTCTTCATGGTGTACCTACTCAAAAAGAGTCATTCATCATGGCCATGACCACCACTGACAGCCTCATCACCCATGCTTAGAAGATCTTTCTGTTGCAAACTACTGCAGGCCAGGAGTAAAGCCCAGTCCCACTTAGAGGCCTGATACACTAACTATGTCAGGTACAGAACCACGTTACTGCTGCAGGCACTGAGCTGACAACCGATTCTACAACACACTAAATTTCATTACTCTACCCTGCAGCCTGAGGAGGCTCACATTACCTCTCTGGACATCAATAATTCTCTGGTGAAATAGAGTACTACCTGGTTCAGGCTATACACAAGGACTAAATAAAATTAATGAGGTGAGGGATGTGCTGGGGTCAGAGCAGATGTTAGCATCTGTAGAGTCTGTTCCTTACAGACACTTGTGATGATAACAATATTATGCTCAGAGGTCCTACATGAGTACGAGTAACTCACGACAGAGCGAGAGGAGTACTGGATGAAGTATTTCATGGTTTGTATAATGAAAACAAATCTTTTTTTTCTTTTTTTTCAAGACAGGCTTTCTCTGTATGGCCCTGGCTATGCTGGAACTCACTCTAGACCAGGCTAGCCTTGAACTCAGAGGTCCATCTGCCTCTGCCTCCTAAGTGCTGGGATTAAAGGCATGTGCCACCACTGCCTGACTACAAAAATAAATCTAAAAACTGTATTAATTCATTGAATACTAATTTTTTTAAAAATTTACCTTAAATATTGATTCTAAAATACCTTTCTATTTCAATTCAATATCCTCTCAATTATATTAAATTCAATGTTAGAAGCTCTAATGAAGGTAGTTTGGAATGATTATTTGAAGCCTTGTTGCAGAGACTGTCCATTGCAGAAGCGTACTAAAAGCTCTATTGGTACCCTGAGGAAGCCAACTACCATGCGCTTGTCACAAAGTCCCATTGACCTGTGCAGCACAGCTACTATATTAGAGCATACGTGCTCACAAGCTAGCTTTTCTGTATTACATTCTAAAGACAGGTTGACATTTAACTAGGCTTCAGAAGTACATAAAACAGCACACCTTCCCTTCATATCATGTGTGCTTTACTCTTAAAAGCTGGAGTCAGAAGCAAGAGGAACAAAAGAGGCTAGACTTCTCACTCTTCCGTTAAGTTGGCTTCATTCACAAAACAAAACCAAATAAACAAAGAAACAACACCATTTAATTACTGAGGGAAGAATCCAATGTGTATCTTTACTTCTTGCAACAAGGCAAAATACTTAATAAGCACTGAGCGTTTACATTAGTAAGCAGTGTACAATTTACAATCCTACTAATTTTCCAAGAGCCCGCATGTAAGATGAGCATTTCAATAAGCTTCTTTCTAGGACGAAGTGTGGTGATGTGTACTCTTCCCTCTAGGATCTAACGTTCAGCTTTTTTTTTTTTTTTTTTTCAGAGACGCATTGTTGAATAAATTTCAACTGTCTTCATCATCTACTGCTCATATCTTCATTAACAAACCAATCTGACAAAAAATAGCCAGGGACTATCACTACCCTATGTCACTGCTTTTATTCAGAGGAATTAGGTGCTGTAGGTACCTTGAAATTTTATGCTAGGATGAGTCTAAATGCTTACTTACCAAGCTTTCAGAGGCAAATCATCTGGCCTCCTGAATAACTTGCGTTCCATAATATGAATCTAACAGACCACTACCAAACGTCCTCTCCTAAAGAAGATGGAATGTATACAACAGGGATGGATTGTGTTTGCGTTTTGTTTTGTTTTTACGGTCAGAAGGACCAAACAGGGCCAGAAGGTGTTAGATGATGTTGCTTTACCTGCTGGGTCCCTGATTGGCTCCCAGTGCAAGTCGCTGTCTTTTTCTCTGATCCATCCACAAAGTCCATGGTCAAAATTACAACTGTGTATGAGAATACCTGCAAGGAGGTGGCCAGAAAGATATGGTCACAAACCCAACAAACAGCAGCCAGTGATCTGTAAACCAGACCTGTCGATGTAGCAGGGTTTTCTCCTACATAAACTTCATATCCCATCAGAACACCTGCCTGACCTCAAAAAGGAATGGCCATGTGTTTTTTGCCAGCACGGCTGAAGAGACTCCCAGTTGCAGAGTCAGAGCCAAAGGTGCTCCCAACTCATGACCTGGCTGGGTTGTCACTGTTAAAATATGACTTCCATCTCCCAATTCAAGCACCACTTTAACGCGATGTCAAAGGAAAATGGTGACTCCTAACTATTTTTGCTCAAGTGACTGAACCAACTGAGTCACATAAAAACAACAAAGGAGAAGAAATCAATCACCCAACTTCCCTGAATGTGACTGGTGATCTACAACTTTACTTTCTTGTTTTAATGAGATTCATCATTTTGTATCCCAACTGAAAAGAAAATTTAAGTTCCTTTCTTGAGCTGGAGGGCAAGACTGGCATGTGACAGCACCTACCCGGGTCGTCCTTTGCTTCGTCATCTGCGCTGATTCCTCTTTCGATTTCAAATATTTCAAACAGGTCATTTGAAGGCTGCCGTGGAACTGCAAGACAGGGCCGATGCTTTGTTTCCCTTCTTTAAATGAGGCGGTGAGAAGACATCCCGCCTTTAACAAGGACGGGGAAAGCCTCTGCCCTTCCGCTCATCTTACACAGAGGGATAGGATTCTCTGTGCAGAGATCTGCGCTCTCACGCTGATACAAGTTAAACACACAACTTTCAAACTGTCTAAAATTCTCGATAAGAACAAGTGAATGGGTTAGGGAGGTTGTTCAGTGGGTAAGGTACCTGCTGTATGTGAGTGAGCCCTGAGTTTGGATCCCCAGCCCCCACACAAAAAAGCTGGTGTAGCAGTGCACATGTACAACTCCAGTGCTGTGGGGTCAGAGACAGGAAGAGCCCCGAAACTATTTGGCCGGTCCACCTAGCCACATAGATGCTTGTGTTTGGTGACAGACCCTGTCTAAAAAACACGGCGGGAGGCAGCTGCTTGTAGATCTCCACTGCTCATGCCCCTTGGATTTTGAGTTTTAACTCAAAGATGCAACTTTGCCTTCTTTCTATCTGTTTCAGATCTAACCTCCATTCCAGACTTAAAAGGCACGACTTCACCTTCTCCTCCCCAGTCACTCCTCCCAGCAGCTATGAAAATGCACACCTTGCCACTAATAAAATTGTCCTTGAGCTCCAAAAATGAATGAATGAATGAATGAATGAATGAAAACAAGGTGGAGAGTAACAGAAAGGGATACCTGATGTTGGCCTCTAGTCTCAACACATGTTCACATGTGCTCACATACATGCACACACATGAACATATTCATACACCAGAGAGAGAGCGAGAGAGACAGCTATGCAACAAAAAAATTGTAAAATTCATGTGTGTGGAAGGTGCATTATGAACTTTAACTGAAAATGCCACAATGGTAGTGGACAGTTTGTTTCTACCCAAAGCACCCACTTTCCTCAACAGAACTCTACACACTGTTGTATGCTCATACATACCCATTACCCAGTGTTCCCCAATACATACCATTACCACAGTGTTCCCCAATACATACCCATTACCCCAGCATTCCCCAATACATACCCATTACCCCAGTGTTCCCCAATACATACCCATTACCCCAGCATTCCCCAATACATACCCATTACCCCAGTGTTCCCCAATACATACCATTACCCCAGTGTTCCCCAATACATACCATTACCATAGCGTTCCCCAATACATAACATTACCCCAGCATTCCCCAATACATACCCATTACCCCAGTGTTCCCCAATACATACCCATTACCACAGTGTTCCCCAATACATACCATTACCCCAGTGTTCCCCAATACATACCATTACCCCAGTGTTCCCCAATACATACCCATTACCATAGCGTTCCCCAATACATACCATTACCATAGCGTTCCCCAATACACACCCATTACCCAGTGTTCCCCAATACATACCCATTACCATAGCATTCCCCAATACATACCCATTACCCCAGTGTTCCCCAATACATACCCATTACCCCAGTGTTCCCCAATACATACCCATTACCCCAGTGTTCCCCAATACATACCATTACCCCAGTGTTCCCCAATACATACCCATTACCCAGCGTTCCCCAATACATACCCATTACCACAGTGTTCCCCAATACATACCATTACCCCAGTGTTCCCCAATACATACCATTACCCCAGTGTTCCCCAATACATACCCATTACCCCAGTGTTCCCCAATACATACCATTACCCCAGTGTTCCCCAATACATACCCATTACCCAGCGTTCCCCAATACATACCCATTACCACAGTGTTCCCCAATACATACCATTACCCCAGTGTTCCCCAATACATACCATTACCATAGCATTCCCCAATACATAACATTACCCCAGCATTCCCCAATACATACCCATTACCCCAGTGTTCCCCAATACATACCCATTACCCCAGTGTTCCCCAATACATACCATTACCCCAGTGTTCCCCAATACATACCCATTACCCCAGTGTTCCCCAATACATACCCATTACCCCAGCGTTCCCCAATACATACCCATTACCACAGTGTTCCCCAATACATACCATTACCCCAGTGTTCCCCAATACATACCATTACCATAGCATTCCCCAATACATAACATTACCCCAGTGTTCCCCAATACATACCCATTACCCCAGTGTTCCCCAATACATACCCATTACCCCAGTGTTCCCCAATACATACCATTACCCCAGTGTTCCCCAATACATACCCATTACCCCAGTGTTCCCCAATACATACCCATTACCCCAGCATTCCCCAATACATACCCATTACCACAGTGTTCCCCAATACATACCATTACCCCAGTGTTCCCCAATACATACCCATTACCACAGTGTTCCCCAATACATACCATTACCCAGCGTTCCCCAATACATACCATTACCACAGTGTTCCCTATCTAAGCAGGTTCCCCAATCCTGTGAGATCAGATATAGGAGGTTTCCTGGTGCAGAATTAGCAATCCACCCCAACAAAACACACAACACTGTCCAAAGCACACCATTCGTTTCCACATCCCGGACACTGGTGCTCTTTTCCTACTAATTAATCCGACAACGTCCTCTCTTCCTTTCAGGTCCAGCATAAACATCAGAGAACGATCTGAAAACTTTCATGCCCCTGGCAGAATGAAATTCCCCACTGAGTACCATATCCCTGACTGCCCCTTCTTCCATATGCTGTTGTAAGGAACTGTAGTTACACACATGCACGCGCACACACACACACACCACACACACACCACACACAAGCATACCACACACACCCCACACAAACACACCACACACACACACATACACACAAACACATCACACACCCCATACAAACACACACCACACATACCCCACACCACACACACACACACACCTCACACCACACACACACAGACCCCACACCACACACACACCACACCACACAAACACACACACAAACACACACCACACACACACACACCCCACACACAAACACCACACACAACCCACACCACACACACACCCCACACCACACACACACACACCCCCACACCACACACCACACATACCCCACACCACACACACCCCACACCACACATACCCCACACCACACACACACACACCCCACACCACACACGCCCCACACCACACACACCCCACACCACACATACCCCACACCACACACACACAAACACACACAAACACACACCTCACCCCACACACACCCCCACACCTGACACACACACACACCTCACAACTCTCCTCACACACCCCCCACACACATCCATGTCTGTCTGCTAGACCCTAATGTCCTCGATGGCATTAATCACATTGTAGTCACATGGTACTGGTGACCGGCACTCGTGAGCAAATGCAAAGATCCTGTCACAAACCATGTCCTTGTCTACATCCTTGGTCGACTGTCACAAGTGGGACAGAGGTGAAGAACACACCTCAAGAGAACCGGTTCATTTAAGTCCTTACTTATGCATTCTTTCCACGTGCACTGACTCCGGTCAAATGCCCAGCCCAGTGGTGGGCACCGAGGAGACGGTGTGAGGGAGTGAACAAGACCAAGGTGCAGCTTGAGTTCTAACGGCACACCCAACGTCAAACACAGAGCTAAATGCACATTTTTAGTTTTGAAAAGGAGTAGGAAGGAAGAAAAGTGCCCGAAGAAGCCAAGAAGAATAGTTGGGTCAGGCAGCAGGGGACTGTGGGAAAGTTGGTGGCGGTTAGCGGAATTCCTGACTAGAGGCCAGGGAATACTCCCTTCTCTTTGCCAGACATTTAATTAATACTTTATTTTTATAAGATGGGAATAAAAGGCATAGACTACTGCAAAAGTGATGACATTTGCAAGGTGCTTTTTCTAATTATGTTGTTACTGTGAGCAAGGACAGTCTTGTGCTACTTGCAACTATTTTAGCCTACTACATCTGGACCTTTCCCCCACTTCTGCTTCAAAAGTGACTTCCTCTTTCACAGCGCATAAACACACACCACACCACACACACACACACACCACATACACACACACACACACACACACACACACCACATACACACACACACACCACACATACACCACACATACACACACCACATACACACATACACACACACACCACACACACACCATATACACATACACACACACCCCACAACACCCCCCCACACACCCACACAAACACCACACACCACATCCACACATACACACCATACCACACATACAGACACACATCACATCCACACCACCCCCCCACACACACCACACACACACCACACCACACATACACACACCACATAGACACACACACACACACTCCACACACACACATACACACACACCACATCCACACACACACATCCACATCTACATACCACACACACATCCACACCACACACACACACAGAGACAAGACAGGGATGCCAAAGTTGCAGCTAAGACGGCAGACAAATGAGCACTGTGGATAGGCCGCTCACTGGTCCCTAGGAGTACTGAATAACTGACAGCAATTACATCCAACGACAGCTTTTCTTTTCTCATTTTCAGAGTCTGAGAGAAAACCTTTCTTATTTATTAGGGGCACAAAGTTGTGGGTAAATCTGCTTCACTTCTCATGGCATAAGTTATAAAAACATTAGGACACGACTGTGCTTTTGTTCTATTCTCTAGTAACAGACATGATCTCTGGCAGAGAAGCTGAACTCTGGCATTGTAGCGTCTTGGGGAGTTATGACGAAGGGCTGTCTACTGACACCTGTCTGCTTTTAATGTGTCCAAGTGGCTTTATGTTATCAAGGAAGATTGGAGGTTTGTCGGGAAAGAACAATTTAAACTGAAAGGGAACTAGGAACTAGAACCTTCCACTCACAAAGCACAGAGCTGCGAAGAGGGGATGGCTCTCTGGGCAGCGGGGGTAAAGGCAGCACCCAGAACAGTCACGCAAGGAGTACACAGCGGTGGCCAGAGTGTCAAACCACGTGTAAAGAGAGAGCAATGCATTTGGAAAAGAG